TCATCATTAAATTACTGAAGTGAAAGTAACTGAAAACTTCAAAGCAGATGATAAAGACAATAAAGTTCAAATCAGCGCCAACACATCAACAAACCTACTTAACACAATTAAATACATGATTCAATCGAAGGCAAATTTTCATTCATACAAAAACCATCAAACAAAAAAATCCCTACTGTTTGACAACTTGCATCAATCAATCACAGAACCAAATCTTATCAGAGATAAAACAGCGCCATTCATCAATTCTCAATGTAAAGGACAGTAAACCAGTTGTAAGGGGCATCCGAGTTTAATCGGGCCGAGCTAGTTGAAACCATTCCAAAACTATCACAAAGTAATATGTAATCACCACAGAAAGTCAAAGAACACCAAATGATCCCTTGCAAGGTCAAGTATATTTAGACTACGGTCATGTAGCGCGTAACTGCATCTACATCATCAATTGTGGTTTTGTTCCTAAGATCACTATTCTGTTTTGTGTCCAAGAAAAAACAAAATCTCCGTGTGCGCAATTGAAGGGGAACCCACAAAGCAGGTGTACGAAACCAAATCTTCATCTACTTTAAAGGTAGTATCACAAATCATAAAAAATCTGATAAATGCAAATCCACAACCTCCACCTCCTTACCGATCCAGAGCACATTTCCCATAAATTACGTAAACAATGTGCACTCCAAAACTTCACCTTTATATCAAATACACGACATACAGCCAATCCAACTCACAAAATACCCAAACACCCAAACCGCAAAATACCACAAAATATCCAAAATACCCTTACCACAAAAGACGCAATTCACGGCCCGCACCACATTCGTAAGGGCTTAATGCTAATAACCAACAGAACACTTCTATTAATCAATAGTTCCAACACCTTAAGAATCAATAATCAATTAGTCCCAACACCTTAAGGATAATTAATTTAAGAAATTCCTTGATCACTTCTGTAATAGGTAGTGATTAGTATCATTCAAAATTCAGTCGCCATATTTGTAAGTGTATCTTATTAGGGCAGCTCAGCGTAATAATAATATAGCCTTCTTGAATTAGAATTTTATTAGCAACTCTAATAATATAGTTGTTCAATAGAATATTACAGACTTTCTCGTACTTGTTCGTTCTTTTGTTTGCGCTAGATTTTCGCTTTTGCTATCCCCTCGTCTAATTGACATGTATTGACGCCTAAACGACAAATAAGGGGCGGCGGGGGACGGGGCGGCGGAGGACGGAGCGGCGCGGGACGGGGCGGCGCGAGCGGCGCGGGGGAGCGGGGGCGGGGGCGGGGGGGGTTTCGCGAGGAGGGTGCGTGGGCGGTCGCGGCGCCGCTCCCACGCAGCGCGCCCAAATGTCGCGGATCGAGAGGCGCGGGCGGCGCGCAGCGATCTGGAGATGAAAGGGCCGCGCGCGCAATATGCCCCCACGGCGCAGACAAGGCGGCGCAATCAAGCGGCCAACGCGGAATCAAAGGCCGCCCAGCTCGCCGTATCAAGCGGAAAATGCACCCAGCGATTGTTCCTGAGCGCCCGAACGTCAACTGTCGAGGACCTCCAATCAAACCAAACCGTTATAAGCTGGACACAATTAAAGCCCTCCATTATTCTAATGTGCAAGATTAACTTTTACTTTCTTGCGCTTAAGAAGAAACTTCCTAAGAAGAGCAAGTTATGTAGTACTGCGCAAAAAACGGCGAATTTTCGTCAGAAAAACTCTTCTTACAGATCCCTGGCAATGAAAATGTGGATAAATATAGTTGCTAAATTTAGAAAAAACCTCTAACACGAGGTGTAGCCAGAATCCATGTTTTGAAGGTTCTTGATACCGAAAAATTGAATGACGGCAAAACGTCTGTCTGTCCGTCTGTGAACAACGTTAGTGGCAAAACCGTTCAGCCTGTTTTCTCCAACATGTCGCGGCCGCTGAATTTGAAACTGATATTTTAATTTTTAATGGTACCTTACATAATGCCCCTAGGCCATTTTCAAACTAAAAAAATGTCATCGATTTTGATGAACTTCTTGTATTGGATAGTCTGAAGGACGTTTAAAAGTATAGTGCAGTTCCCATGTTGGTTTAGTACTCCGATATTTCGAAAATTAAAAAAGAATGGCAATTTGTGGGGGGACTTCCTACAACTAAAAAAATTAAAGATAGAGATTTTTCCCTTATTAAAATATTTTCCTCAAAGATAGATTTAAAATAAGGGCATGTACAATTTTTCGCAAATTTAATTATTTTTCGTGTAATTCCTTATAAAATATAGACAATTTTTAATTTTATTTGAACAATTTTTTATAAAACATGACCCCATTGATTTTGATTCAATTTTGTTCTCGAATAGTCTGAAGGACGTTTAAGAAAATTGAGTAGGTGTCATGATGATGGAATACCCTAATTTTTCGAAAATTGAAAAAACTCAAAATTTGTTCGGTGTCTTCCTACAACTACAATTATGAAGATCATTTTTTCTTAATGAATGTGATTATCAAAAACGAATCTTGAAAACAAAACGAAAGCTTGTACGTGATCTTACTTCAAGATCAGTCTTTAAAGAAAATATTTCATTAAGAAAAAGGTCTTTATCTTCAATATTGTAGTTGTACTGAGACATTGAAAACAATTGTGAACTTTTGCAATTTTCGGAAATTCAAGGATTTCAATGAACATGCTCCATTCTTTTTCGCGTTTTTACGCTATCCGAGTACAAAGCTTAATAAATAAATTCAAGGGCATTTTTTAGAAATTTTTAAAAATGTTAAGGCTTCATGTAAAGCACCCGACAAATTAAAATATACGTTTCAAACACCGAGCCTCGAGTTCAATTGCATTGATAGAGGAATACTAATTTCGGAGAAAATCAGGTGACCCGTTTAGGCCTCTGCGTTGACCACAGACGGACAGATGGGCGGAAGGTCGCCCATACGGTCGAATGTTTTGTCGTCAATCAATTTTTCGGAATCAAGGACCCGAAACATGGATTCAGACAACACGAGTTAGAGAAAGTAATTTACTATAGGAAAAGGATTTATCCACTTTTTCGTTACTAAGGTCCGACAATAAAAGATTTTCTGTCTAGAATTTGCAGTTTTTCGGCGCACTATTACAATACTTTCTGTTTTTACGAAGAGTGGGAGAGAAAGTAATGGTCCAGATTGAAGAGAAAAGTTAACTAATACGAGAATCTGTGCCGTTCTGTAGCACCTCTAGTATATTATTGTTTATGTATATACAATTGGTTAAAATAATTTTTTGAAATGATTTTCTCAACAATTAGTTCTTTTATTAATGTGTTGTACACATTTTCCCGAAAATTTTAGTCGTGGCGTAATTTTGAGTGAAATATGGGTAACTTTAAGAAATATTATAAATCAATTTTTTTTTTTTCAAAAACGGTTCCAGATGTTTTTGTGGGTTTAGTTCTAAATGTACTCTATAAGATGAAATAATGCCAAACAATATATTGCTGAATTGTTTTAAAAACATTACACAAATAGTATTTTTTTATATCTCTCTAACTTCGTTAGTGTTGTCGTTACCGACGATGTGTATCCATAATTACATTTGTGAGTACATGTGCTTAAAATTATTTCTGATAAAGTTTGCTGTGAAAATGAGCTCTAATTTCCGAATTATCAGAAACATCCGAACATTTTGTCAAAAAGGGCTCCAAAGTCTTTCTTGAAATTATTTCTACGAATAATGCTGAATGCATTGTATAAGATAACATGAACATCATTTTTCTGTATTCTTGTGGGTTTCAAAAATCGTACAATTGAATTAGTTTAGTATCTCTCACGCCATTAGTATTTCCATTGTAGACATTTCGTATACTATATCGGTTCTTTGAGTACAATTGATATTATGATGAGATTTCTTGGAAAATCGAAAGCTCATTTAGTGAAAACGAGCATCAAAATACGTTATGTCAGAAATGCTGAAGCGTTATTTTCTTAAAAACATCTAAAAGGTTTCGAATGAAAATAAGCAGTAAGGATTCTACCCTTTTATAATATATTTAGAATTATAATTCAATTCTCCTATTATGGATCAGAAAAATTAAGAAAACGCAAAATAATTACTTTTTGTTGCCAATAGAGAAGCGAAGTCGAGACGTTGGACAAAACCGAATAGCCAAAACTGAAGAATAAGAAAACTAACTAGTACGAGAATGTCTGTGTCATTCTGTGGCAACACTAGTTTCTGTTGGGGGCAACATAGGTTTCTCAATTTCCAAACTCCAATGGCTTCGCCATCTTCATGCGTGTGCCCTCCTCCATCTCCAACCTCCATCCCTCCCCGTGTCCCTTCGGCGCCGGGTGCCCGCTGGCGTCGTACCTCAAGACCCAGACGGGCGGGTTGCGTTGCGCCTGATGCACCAGTGCTCGCCATACCCCCCCTCCCCTCCTTCGGGGAAGGTCATTGGCTACCCGCACAGCCATTCAACACTGTTATGGACTTGAAACCAAGCGTCGAGAGTTGCCGAATTTCTCTAAATAAGTCGCATTTGCAGTAATAGAAATGTTCTTTTTGTATTCTTACAAAGAAAACATTCTTGATTATAAGACAATGACGTAATTGCGATTATACATGCATACTTAAATTGTTTAATTTAATATTCAAGTATTTATACTGGTGTAGCATTAATCAAATGATGCATTTGTTTACATTTTTAAAGGATGTTGCACAAACGCAAATAGGTCATCGTAATACATTTCAACACAAGTGCATATATTTGGGCACTTTTACACCCAAATGTGTTGTATCTCTGTTGTGATCTTGATTGCATTCATACAACCGACACCTCACATGCAGTCCTCACCTTACATACACCCTATACTTTACATACACCTCACATCCCCGCATACAAAACAAGTTGTATTTATATATTTATATATTTATTTATTTATTTTATATAGAACAATAAAGCTCTTTTTGAAAACAGATCAGTCCTAGAGAAAACAATCTTGCCTCGATAATTCTACTAATATCCTATAAGTCAGCCTCAGTCAAAATCCGCTGCGTTCTCCCGCCTCCGTTTCCGCGCCGTGAGTGCTGCCGGCCTGCGGGGGCCGGGGTGCGTCGGGGTGCGGCGGAGTGCGGCGTGGTGCGGCGGGGATTGCGTCAGGGTGCGTCGGGTGCGTGGGGTGCGTTCGGGGTGCGGCGGGGTGGCGGCGGGGAGGACGGGGTGCGGCGTGTGCGATGCCGGTGCGGGGCGGTGAGGTGCGGGGCGGAGCGGGACGGGGGCGGGCGCGTGGCGGTGCGTCGGCCAAAGTCACGCCCCCGCACGCCGCGTGATTCACCTGCGCGGACAGTGCGGTGGCGGCGGCGGCGGCGACGCGACCGCGCGTGCTCAGGGGGATAAACGGCCCCGGCGGCGGGCTGGCGCCGCCTGCGGCTCGTGGCCCGCGCGCCGACGCCCCCGAGGGGAAGTGACCAAGTGCCCGTCCGGAGGCCGAGGGAAGCGTTGATTCAGCAGGGCAGCTGCTCTTCGTGAGTGGCAGCCGTTGCCACAAAGGTTTTGAGTGGCGAAAAGCAACACAGTCAGGGCAAGCTTCTAACTCTCTAACGCGCGCAGTCAGGTTGAAGATAAGCCATTTGCGACAAAGAATATCCAGTGACAAAGTTTATCTAACACATCTACACGTGTGATGGCCTCCTCTGACTGCTGGGCAACTCCTCATGCACTGCTATTCCTCAGGTACATAAAATCTCTGCGTCAGAACGTGACTTGTCGAACACTAATGCTTGTGGAGCTGCCTAATAATCCTTGGCAATTGTAACATGTTTTACTTCGCTGAATGAAATTTCTCACATGTTCATTGGCAAAAACGCGATCGCCTTCTATCCCTGTACGTACTTTTAAAGTTTTTAAAATTTATTCCGCATGTGCGAACTGTGATATATTTTATGGCTGATTACTGATTGCCGGCGCGCCAACTGCTGAGGACATTAGTTCCGTAAGTGTACTGCATGCTCTTTCCTCGGGAGGTTGCAATGATCTCTGGTGGAAAATGAGATTCGGTGTCGATCTTTCCGTCGGCAGGCGGAGGTTTCCCCAACCATGTATCTCCCACCAGCCTTTGCCCCAGCCAAGACAAGCTTTAACCGCCAACCGATCTTCCGGTATGTGTGGTGGAGTAGAGCATGTATTAATGTAATGAATGAGCAAGGGTGAGGATAGGACAAGGAAAGGGAAAGAAAGATCGCGCGTCCATAGCCCGTTTGTTAGAGTAATGCTCTGGCATTCGCCTAGTGTTGGTCGGAGAAACCACGGAAAACTACCGATCAGAGTAGCGGGTCGCTAGAATTCTCTTCCAAACAGTGACTAAATTCGACGTAAATACCTTCACACAGCGCCACTCAGCAGTGCTTCCCAGTGACGCGTCTGCTACTAAGCATTAGTTTAAATGGAGGTATTAACACGAGTGGCGGAGTTGCGCTGCTGTGGCGCTCGGTGGCGTTGTCCCACCAGCAGCAGCGCTGAAGCTTGTCCGCGCCACCTCTAGCAAAACACAGATCTAAATGGCTGTGTTCACACGAGACGTGCCACAGACGCGCTACCAAGGGCCACTTCCGCGCCACTGCCGCGCGCTTCGGTAAGCGGCAGGGCCCTTCACACGCCGCTACCGTCGCTCCGCCGCACGCTACGAACGGGGAAGGGTTCGTGAGTCCTATCCGTCGGCGACGCAGCAGGTAAAACGCCGCGATCGGTGACGCGACGTTGGAAAAAGCTGTGGCGCTGCTGTGGCGTTCGGCGACAGACTCCCGCTTCCAGCAGCGCAGGGGGCGCCCCCCCCCCTGCGCTGCTGGAAGCGGGAGTCTGTCGCCAAACGCCACAGCAGCGCGAATTAGGGATATGTATGTTTTCAAAATATTTATGTTTTTGTAGCGACATCTATATTTTAAACATAGATGTTTTAAATATCGATGCATTAACAGCGATGTTTTGTTAACATTGATATTTTCTGATCGATGTTTTCTTCTTTTTCGATACTTTGTTTCTGAATAAAACTTCCCTATGATCACAATACTGTAAAAATTAAAATGTGAAATAACTGATAGTAAGACTGTTGTTCATGTGTTGGAACCAAAGGAATGCTGGTTGCACTACTACGACCACACTCGGGCTAGAGAGCCCGAGATGACCTCTATGCCATTGTATTTCATCTTCATATTCATTTTGCACATTGAGGTATGGCCAACTAGTAAGTTGTGGGTGTACGTAAGACCGTCATCTTTTTGTCATACCCTTATTCGAGGAATTGATAAACACGAACACTGCCAAATTAAATTTTATTGCACACGACTTAAGATATGTCAGAGAATACTAATCGAGTCTAAAAACATCGATGCTTTTTCGTAGATGTATTTTGAACTTCGATGTTTGCTAACATTAAAGTTTTGTAATTGATGTCGCATAGCTAACGCGAACCCGTCGCACGTGGGAAGACCTCCATTTAAACCAACGCTTTGCTACCAGACGCGGTGCGACGTTTGGAAGCGCGCTGCAATGCTGACGTGTGAAGGGGCCCTAATCTGGTCTTTGCCAGCTGCAGCCTTGTTCGGCCGCCTGAGCCCATAGCGAATCCTTCCCCTGTGGCGGTCGACGCTGGCTGTCTGAAGCGCTGTGCCGCCAAGTGTCTCCTAACCGCGCGCTGTCTGTTTGCGCAGGCCCATGGTGAAGGTGCACGAGGACGACGACGAGGAGGAGGCCGCGGGCGCGTACAGCAGCGCTTACAGCGGGGGCGCGTCGGGCGCGGGGGCGTCGGGGGCGTCGGGGGCGTCAGGGGGCGATTCGTCTGAGGACGAGGGCGACGATGCCCCCGGCGCGAGTGGCGGCGGTGGCAGGGCGGGCGACAGCGCAGCGTCCTCCGCGTCGGCCTCCGCCTCCTCCTCCTCCACGTCCTCCTCGGCGTCGGGGGGCGCGATCGCCCTCAAGTTTCGCGCCGCCGCCGGCCGCTGCGCCGGCCGCCGCTTCAGCCCACCCCCGCTGCCGCCCCCGCTGCCCGCGCCGCTGCTGCACCATCACCACCACCACCACCACCACTGGGCGTTCCACGCGGGCGTACCCGCCACCTTCCACATCGGGCCCGGCTTCGAACCCCAGCAGCGCCACGGCCGCCCCGCGTCGCCGCCGCCCCAACCGCCGCAGCCGCCCGCGCAGCACGTGGTGCACTTCCACGTCAACCCCGGCGTCACCGTCAGCTTCCAGATGGGCGAGCACGTGCAAGTGATCAAAGGTAGGGCGCCGGCAGCCGTGCCCCGCTCCCCGCGGCACGCCCACCTCGCTCACCGCCCCTCCCGAACGAACCGGCTGCGATAGCAAACACAGCGACCGCCCTTTCGGCAACTTCGTTGGACACAGGAACTACGTGGCTGCCCGGGAGACGCCGCGTCGTAGGCAAGGTGCTTACGTTTCGGCCTCCATGCGTTTCGCCCTGAGGAAGGTCGCACAATGGAGGCCGAAAGGTTGACACTTGGGCCAAGGACGTGGCGTCTTCCGGACAGCAACGAAGTTACTGATTCCAGCCAAAGATGCTTAAGTTCTTATGTTAGCGAAAAACAAATGAACTCTTAATTCATCTCCTACTGACTTTCTCATTATTTTCCTCCTCATCCTTATCATCATAATCTTCACATTTTCATTATTTTGAATTTTCTTCTCCCTTTTCTTTCTTCTTAATTTCTCGCCCTTAATTCGCAATTAGAAAATGTGTAATCGTGAGCCGAAAACGGCGAATTTTTCACACACAAACTTTTATTGCCAGGCCCTGGGAACGAAAAATTAATTGAATATTCTCCTCAGATAGCGTAAAATGCGCTTAAATGTATGGTGCAGATCTAATTTTTGTTGAAATCCTGGGTTCTTCGAAAATTGCAAACGATTTTTTCGACGTCTTTCTACGACAATACTGAATATTGTTTTTCTTCATAAAATCTTTGGTTAATGACGGAACTTGAAAAATGTCATGTACAATTTCTCGAAAATATGAGTAGATTTCGCGTAATTTCGCACGAAATGTAAGCAATTTTCAAGCATCCCCCTCCTCAAAATACTCCAATATTGTCTTTTAATCTTTAAATTTTCTCTTCGAAATGTCTAATGTCTAAATAAAAAATGGCGTTAATTTCATTTCCGGCGAATTTTCTGTCTTTCCGAATATTACAAGAAGTTCACATTTCAAAACTACAAAATTGAAGACAGAGATGTTTGCTTTTACCATAATCTCTTCTAAAAGATCAGTCACCAAAAAATCTGAAAGGGCTGGTACAAGTTTTTGGCACAACGAGTTTTGGGGTAATTTCTGCTTGAAGTTAGTGCAACTTATAAAAGGTACGTTTTTTCAAAAATCGCTCCAATTTTTTCTTTAACTTGTTTCCACGGATAAAACAAAGGACCTCATAAGAATTACGCAAGTCTAATTTTGTCGATCTCTCTGAATTTTCTAAAATTGCATGTAAATAATGGGTGAGACAATTAGAATTTTAATCGTCGACCCAAGTGAGTGACTATGTGGTGTAGTGGTAAAACGCATAGCAAGATTACTCGATCAACAAGCGTTTGTGTCTCGGCGCGAAAAAAAATCTGCTTGAAAACACTGTTTGTTCATGTAGTAGTATAACATTGCAGATTTTGCCAATAACTCGAGAAAATATGTGCTGCTGTTTTCCCTTTTCCTTTTTCTTTTCTAATTTTCTTACGCCTCATTTTTCTTTCTCCTTTTTCCTGTTTCTTTTCTTATTAGTCTGCTCTACAGGTAGATTTTGACGTGATATCAGCTCTCCTTGAATACATCCTCTCCTGTTCTCTTCTTGACTACCTAACTTGCTTTCAATTTCACTTTTTCCAATACATGATTAATATGTGCACTTAATATCGCCTTTTTCAGCCTTGGTTCTTACTTGAAGATGAAAACGAACATGTGACTTTCATTAACAGTGATATGTCTATAACGGTACATGTTCGCATATCAACCTGCCCGGTGGCGTTCAAAACAAAAGTTTGTTGATGAAGCCGCTGCGGTAGCTCATCGGCAACATCGCTTTCTCTGCAGCGTCGTTGACCGGTAGATCCTGGGGTTCCGGTCCAGACCCGCCGCGCCGGAAGTAGGTTCTCGGCATGAGCTAGATGGCGCAATCTGAGTCTCTGGCCGGAAACAAATGTAGCGGTTGGCTGCTCTATTCTATAGTTTTCCGACGCTTCTGAGATCAATACTAGGCAAATGCTGGAGCAGTACCCTAGAAAACGAACCGCGCATGTTCTTTTCCTAGCATATACCTTCCCCCTTTTCACCTTATGAAAACACACTTACATGCACTACAGCTTCAAACACGTCGGGAGCCACGAGTCCGGTGTGCCGCTGGAGGAGGTGGGCAGGAGCTGAAGGCCGGAGAGATTGGAAGCCGACGTGAAATGCGAGGCCGGCATCACTTTTCTTCGGGGACGAAACACCGCCTCCTCCCCAGATACAACACACACTACATTTACTGGTTCAATTATCTCACTTGCTGTCCATCACTGAATCAACACGAACTCACTCACTCAGTTAACTGACGTCTTCTTGGACTACTCGGCGTAGACCCGTGGGTCTTAGGGAAAAGGGGTTGCGGGCTTTCGTCATCAGCTCAACATGTAGGTCAGGCCTTGCCTTTACCTGGATGAAAAATTCCAGTGCCCGGCTGATCTGGTATGTCATGCCAGCAGTTGCTTCAATTTTAGAGAATATCGGAGAACCTTAAAAAAATTGTATGTAGACCGCTCGCGATCTTTCTTCCTCTACAATGTACTCTCCCGTTTCCCATTAGAGCTGAGCAGTCGTCTGATCTCCCATCCCCGTAAAGCTCATTGCCCATGATACAGAAAAACTACTAGCATCGCGAGTACGCCGATGTGCCACAGGAAGAATAATACGGCGCCATAATCTCTGTGTTTGTTATCGCAACCTCACCCTTCTGGTTTGTTCACCGCACCCGATCTCCCCCGCGCCCGTGTGACTGGCGTGTGGTGTGAAAGTGAGTGATTTATGTTTTACCCAATATTTGTGCATGAAAACATCTTCTTTACAGCTTGCACGCCAGGTGTCACAAGTGATTCCAACATGGTTTCCCGCCAATGCGTGCACATGAGATTCATTTACAGCACTACTTCAATTTTACTATTACCAGAGATATAGCATAATCGAATGCATTATTGTAATTTACATTTATGATTTCTGTGTATTCAATATTTTATTTGTGGAGTATCGAAAAACTATCCTTGAAACTGTGAAGAACCAGCTTAATTGCATGATGCCAAGCACCAACCTCTTCTATACCAACTGTAATTGGAAAAATATTTCTTGAGAATGGAACTTTTTGTGTGTAAAATAAACGGAACCTTCTGCATGTCACGTTCCGCAAATTAAATTATTATGAAAATAAAACCTTTTTATGACATACTGCATTTTTATGTGATTCAGGTATTTTAAATAGAAATTGCACTGCTTCATATCAATATTTTATTTGTTATTATTTTCATGTGATCACTGTTTGATACATCTGATTATTGTAGCGATGTTATATCAACTTTTGAAATATATTGCTGAAACACTTTTTTACCAATTGGAAGAAGTTAATAATTCCATTTTCTTCGTTTCTCGACTGAATTTGGTAGCGGCGGGTTCAGAAACGCAATTATCAGAATGTTGGGAATTTTGCATAATTATTTGGCAAGACATTTTATTCATCAAAGATTATGTATACTCATTGATATTGATTGAACCAAGTAACACTCAGTGTGATAATGGATTTCGGATCAAGCCATATTTAATACGACCGATTTATAATATCTAGGATCAGTAGTTGTTAGACAGGAATCCTTCATTACTGCGATTTCGTGGAAATAAATTGTATGTGTTAATAGCACGTCATGTTTGGTAATAGCAGCAGCATTAATACATAGATAACAAGTAAAGATGGACAAATCACAGTTAACAAATTGTTATGTAATCTCACAATCGATGTAGTATGTTAACACATTCCATAATTTTCTACTGAGTTCAGTCAGTCGAGTTGCGAGTAGTTTATCGTTCCGCTCGTGAAATCTCGATTAAAACATAATTACAGTGTTTTTGTAGCAGTTGCAGCCTCTAACGGAACTCGTCAATTGACGTCACCCACATGATTCGTGCACGCAACCTTCTAGGCTCTCACTATTTTATCGCGTTCCCTTGCGGATGAGTCATCCAGCGATCACTGCGAGAAAAACAGGGACGAAAAGACATGTTACTAACGCAGGAACTCAGAAAAAACGTATTAGAATTGTAGATAAAATACAGAAAAAATAAATAACGGAGTTAATAAGACAATAATCGAATAAATTAATCAGATGTTAGTATTTTATTTTTAATTATCGCTTATTTTCTGTGCAGTTGTGTAGTAGAGGAAAATCGAAAATAGTTTTGCATTTTCTGAAGGTATCATTTTTATAGAATATTAAACCCTGTTGAGAATGGTATTTTAATATGTTGCTCTAATGGAATATTGTCAAAACGTGTATGTAAAGATACCAAATAAATATTTTGTGTAAGTTTTCCAACATCAATTTGTGGATATCAAATATATGTTTTATTGCGCAAGGAATTAATTTACAAATTGTACATTATACATTATGTAAAATATGTATTAATAAATACATGTTTATTATTGTTATTATTATTATTATTATTGTTGTAAATTAAAGGAAGGACCTACATGATTGATCGAGTGTTCTGCACCACGTTAGAAGAATGGTGTTCTTCTAAATCCCTAAGATAAAGAACAGAGATCTATTGAAAAGCATTCCTCGCCACGGCCTCGTACCAATCACGTGCTAAATTGCGGAGAGGTCTGAGAGCCGACTGAAGGCGCACACACAGCGGCCTTCCCGCTCTCCCATCCCCAACGCTTGGCCTAGCCGGGGAAGGGGGGGGGGAGAAGACAAAGAATCGGCCAGCACGTGCCGCTTGATGCAGGCGGGTTCTGATCCCGGCTCCCCCCGCGGACGCGCCGCGATAGGTCACGTCGCCAAGGCCATGCCACGTCGCCTAGCAACAGGCGGTGGCCGAGCTCCGGCGCACAGACGGCGGGGACGGGACGGAGCGGGGAGGGGGCGGGGATGCGGACGCGTATAGGGGAGGGAGTGAAGAGGGTTAGAGGCGGAGGAGAAGGATTTGAAATCCAGAAAAAAAAACGGTATTAGTACAATCAGTATTCATAGATTGCGACCTCAATAGCATGTTTTTATGTGTCAGTTTTTTTGGGAAAGTGTGTTTTGACAATGTAACTTTTCTTTCACGTCTACAACATTTTAAAACATACTGCAATTCAGACTCGTAGAAAAATTGAGAACAAAAATATAATTATTAGACACATCCGAACTTTCAAAATGCTCCACTGTTAAATTTTCTCAGTCAGATATCCGTGTTATTCTGAGGCGGCGGCGTTTGGCTACAGTATCGGTGTCGGTGTAGTTAAGTGGATAATATTGTGGTATAGATACTATAAGTGCAGTATTGGTTTAAAAACGAAACTAGTGACAAATAATAAATCAATTTATCCGTTTGTGATATATTTTTAGCGCATCCTTTCATCTTGTTCTGGCGTTTTATTCGGATACTCTCGTATCGTTGCTAAGAAATGAAACCCTCATTTCCATATATTTAAATAAGTGAAATCGACATAATATATTAATCGAAAAAAGGTCCAGTTCTCACCTTTATCTCGCGAATTGCGAGAGGGATGACGAAGAACAAGTAGACTGACATGCGGCGCAGTTTCAGCGAAAAAAACAACGAACTTTCAAGTAGAAAGTGACGGTATAAACGTATGCAACTTCTACGGCAAATCTTGAAATGATGGTTGTTGATTAATTATATTGGATTGATGGTCTCTTAAGTCATATTAAGTGTGATGTAGGGGATGCAACTGCTGATAGGCTCGTCGAGGAGACCCAGCGCGGCGGCAACGCTAATGACACTTGGCGACAGTAACAATTGGCCCGACGACCTATGCAGCGAACTTGAATAAGGAATTTGACAGCGACTCCGGTAGCTAGTCCGACAGCATCTCCGCACTGAGAGAAATGGATTTCAAGCTTGGTTGGGATTGTTTTGATACATTATGCTAGTTACTAAATTTGGCATCAAGGGAAATGATGTCACATGCTATACACTTTGGACCCTACATCCAAATTAAATAGTTAGTCTACAATAAAATGACATGACATCAAAAGACATTGATACGTCAACTTCTTATATAGTATTATCTTTTAGATGTTATACTTAATTGTTATAATAGTATTATATAAAGTGCTACATAAAGATCGGTCTGTAGCAATTGCATTGGCACCTGTTATCATTCCGAAAAGGGGACTTCGTTCTCTTACCTGCAAAAGACTCGTCACCATTCTCATCGTCGGTAGTTTGCGTCAATCATTTCACTTCAGGAGATCTGTATAATATTATTTGAAACACATTAGGACGAGTTAGTGCTAAGGAAACAAAACTTAGTGATGTGGTACGTAGTGTTTTCCAGAATATACCATCATATTGGCTACGGAAGGACCAAGCAAGTTTGAATGAAAATCAAAAACTGCATGAAACTAGATTTGATGACATCCGATTTCAGTGATATTGTAAATAAACTTGCGTTGAAGGTGTCTTCACAAAATATCTAATGTAACGAATGATTGTGTTTGGACGTCGTTCATATGAAATATCTTTCTTTGCGAGGCCCACGTTGTGTTGTGTTGCTGTCGTTAAGTTGTTGCTATGTTATTAATCGTAGAATTATTAATACAGAAATTGATGATATAAACCTAATAATTTAACGAAATATTACCTAACCACACATGGGAAAACCTATCTTTGTATTAATGCAATATTATGGATCCAGTATTCAAAGAGTTGTGTACTATATCAAACTTAACAATTTACTTTAAATCGAGTTCCCAAATGCGTTTTGTAATACTTCAAAATATTTCATTTTTACTTTGGATCCAGGTTTCAAAGGAAATAATGACTACCACATGTCCTATGGTCATGGCATGTATCAAATGTCATATTGGTTGTATTTATCCATAAATTTTGAATCTCTATTCCAAACCTTTGGATAATCCATTCAAGTTCTTCCAGTGCCGTAGCGATGACGAGAACAATTCTGAAAGTAACTGCGAGAGCGTCCCCGCGAGCGACCCCGACAATTGAACCGAGAACGGCTCCGGGAGCGACTCCGGGAGCGGCTGTGACAGCAACTTCCAGAGAGATGCCTTGAGTGAATCAGAGAGCGACCCCGAGAGCGACCCCGAGAGCGACCCCGAGAACGACCCCGAGAGCGTCTCGAGAACTGCTCCGAGAGCGACTCCGGGAGCAACTTCCAGAGCGATACCTTGAGAGAATCAGAGAGCGACCCCGAGAGCGTCTCGAGAACTGCTTGGAGAGCGACTCCGGGAGCGACTTCGAGACCAACTTCCAGAGAGACTCTGTGAGTGAATCAGAGAGCGACTCCGAGAGCGACTCCGGGAGCGACTTCGACAGCAACTTCCAGAGAGATGCCTTGAGTGAATCAGAGAGCGTCTCGAGAACTGCTCGGGGGGCAACTCTGTGAGCGAATTCGTGAGCGCCTCCGAGATCGTATTCGACGACTACGACAACAGCGGGAGTGGAAGCGG